TATATTAAATCTTATAAAATCATTTACCTTTTAAAAAAATAATTGTAATATTTTGAATTATGAGATATTTGGGTGTTGTTTTCTTGAACTTATATATGAGTATGGTTGTCTTTCATTATCATTATAGCTTGTCTTTCAATTTAATGATATTTCATATTTATGCTTTATTTTTATAATTTTTGTATAGTTTGCATTATGTTCAAAATGGCGCGCGCCGCCCCGTGCGCTATGCCCCATAGCTCCAAAGGGACTTTTGTACCGTATTGCGCTTCGCCGTTAACAAGTATGCTATAGCCTTCAAAGTCTAGTCAAAATGAAGTTCAATGCACAAAGTCTTCAATTTAGTATGGGCAAAGTTTTGAAAACTCTTCAATTTTTCACCGAAATTTGCATTCAAGAGACTTCTTCAAAAAGATGGAGAGAAGAATATATTTATGCTTGCATTTATGAAAAAAGGATTCATAAGGCTTAAGTTCATCAATCTCAAGGAAGTTATGGTTGATGCTGCTAAATTGTACCCTAGAGAGTTCATGTGATGGAGACAAGAGTATATGCAGAAGAAAGGGAGAGCAAGAGAGGGTGTGGGATAGAGTTGACACTAGATAGGAGTGATGAGCATGAGTGTTGGGGAGCTTTCATATGAGAGGACAATAGGTAAAAGTGAACCTTAATGTTGTAAATGCTCGTCAATGCCAAAAATGGAAGCCCACCCTTTCTTGCCATTTCGCTTCAGCTTTCGAAATTACTCCAAACAGACATGTTCGGTGCTTGAGGTCTGTCTAATCCACAGAACTCTTCTGAATAACATGATTTTGTTTGAATCGCAGATCTTGTTTGATCACAGTCGTCGATGCAATTTACTAGATTTAGGAAGTTAATTTGAAATGCTATTAAAGTCAAATGGGTTTTAATAAAATAAAAATGGGCTCAATCAGGTTAAATTAGAGTCCAAATCTAACTTAACTTGAATCAATTTGGGCTCGATCTAATTCAACTAATTTATTTACATGAAATTTAGCCCAAAATCGACATCAATTGAAATTAAATTAGGCCCGATGCGGTCGATATATGTTGATCGAGAACAATCGAGTGTAGTCGAGTCAAATTCAACTCGATCCGAGTCAATTTGAAATCAAGTTCTAATTGACGCCAATTCGACTTGAACTCAGCTAGTCGTGGCTCGATTGAGTCGATCAAACACAGTCGAGCCCACTTGGTCCCAAATCTAACTCAATTGAACAACAACTAGTACGCTCGAGAGCCTAAGCGTGAAAAACAAGGTCAACAAGTAACATCATTTATTACACTTTCATATTTACTAATGCTATTATTAATGACCAATACAATTGAAATAAGAACAAACATGAGAACCATTTATTCAAAAGCTGTAATATTAAAGGGATTTTTATATGGAGATTTTACAAAGGGAGGTAAGATCAATTAGTCTTATCAAAACTCATAAAATATGCACTCATATTACAAATCTGTTAATTTTGTAAATTGAAATTAAAAGAAGAGAATCTGATTATAAGTCACACAACTCCCAAATAAAAATGGATCCTAAAGTTAAATATACTCTTGAAAACCTCTCTCGCACTCTTGATAAAGGAGTTATGCTTATGTTCTGATTTAGCCTGAGTATTTTAAAGGAATGACCCCAATAAAAATGAAAGAGGAATGAAAAGGCTCAAAGGGGTTGTCAGATGAGTCAAACTAACAAATTCTCTTATATCTAACATGTCAGGTCACCACAAGTATTAGATATATTTAGCCGTTAAAGTGGTTGACCCAATTTAGACAATCTTTATTTGCAACTATGAATTGGTCATTCATGAATCATTGTGATCTAAAGCCAAGGAAGCGGCATAGATTCCTAGACATACGAATTACTTGGTAGAACTTGAAAGAGTAAAAGGCTCTCACTACATATAGTATACGGAGTTGCCTACAAAGAGATAGGACAGGGAGAATTTAACAATGTGAGTCAAACTACCCAAAGAGCCTTACAATCCGGTTTGGTTATATATATATGCTTGGTTATATACCTTTATGTCTAGAATTTTTACTATGTGCAAGAGAAATTTATCATATCATGGTTTCTTGATTAATGAATCAGTTAAGCTCAGTGCTGATAGAAAACTCGCTTTTGTGAAAAGGTATAGGAAACTCAACCTGTATTCCAACATCATCGCAAAGGGAATAATTTGCTCCTTAATAAGTGATCTTAAGGCTAGACCATTTTAATTAAAGAAAATGTTATCAAGGTTGATTTTAAGTGAAGTATCATTTTAATGAAAGTTGTAGAAAAGAACTTTTTAAGAGCTTATTGAAATGCATTATCTCATATAATCACAACACAATTATGCGCAGGTTCTCATAACTAGACAGGCTGGGAGAAGCTAGGCTGCAATACAATCCTAATAGAAATAAAAACTGACAGTTGGGCACCATATAAATACAACCAAATCCTAATTTCTATGTAAAAACGTAAAATGCCAAGAAAATTAGCACGTGAGCATAAGGTATACGAATCAGATTGCCTTCATTCATAATCTTTGCCTCTCGAATTGTCTGGATTTGAATGTACACATGGATCTAGAAATATATTAGTTGGAAACATTTGCATATACCTCTTTCTAGTATAATTAAGAAGGCTGCATCATAGTTTCGTCTTCCATACATTCTTTTTAGATAAGAAGAGAAAGATAAGGAAAGAGTAAACAACAAAGTAAGAGACTTGGAGAGAATATATTAAAAATTGTGAGTGGTATTCCCGATTTAGAACAACAGGATTTTTTTTTTTTTTTGGCTTCATCAAAATTTTCTCTGGCACTGCAACATTTATCTTGGCACCACCGCATTTACTTATGACATCAGCATGCTTGCATTGTGTTGATGTAATATGCCTCATCCACAAACAAAAGTGCATTACAATTTTCCCTTTCTTCTTATAGTTCTATCTTTTTTCTCTCTTTTTTTTTTTGTATCTTTTTTCTTAATGTATTCCTTACTATTTCTTACATTTTCTCTCCTCTCTCTTCTTCTTCTCACTTTTTTCTTTTGCAGTTTTTCCTCTGCAAAAAATACATGTTTGCTTGTTTTCTATTCATAGGAGCTTATGGAGGTTAAAATTAAATTATAATATGGTTCAAATTTTGATTCGCGCCATAATGATAGAATTTGCAATAAAATTTGAACTTTTTCCTAATAAACAAGATAATTCAGATGAATTTGTATCTATCCTTGAAGTTATCCATTTTGAATTTTGAACTGAAACAATAGAGTAAAAATTGAGCTCCACCAAATTAACATTACTTCGAAACGCAATTGCATACTGATGAGGACATCAGTAGGAGATTTCTACATGTCTAATATCAGAGGAATTGTAGATCGACGGCTACGATTCAGAGCCTCTATTTTTTATGCATTTTTTATGTTATTTTCAGTTTTATCATTGTACCCCTGTGTGGGGATTTCTTTTATGTTTTAGTCCGAGGGCATATGAATTTTGTATTTTCTTGTTATTAGAGGTCTATATATTACGACCTTTGTTATTGTATGAGGATAATGATATTTTGAATGAAAATTTCCAGCTTCTTGTTTTTTATCTCTTTGTGAGTTCTTGAGGGAAAGGAACCCTAGGAGGGCCAAGCATCACCCGTCAACCGCCGGTAGAGGCTGGGGCTCACGATTAGTATTTGTGGTTTCTTTTATCTTCCTCCTCACTTCCACCACCGGCCATATATCTTAAACCACCCCCAAACCGCCGGCCTTGCCTCCCTCCACCTCTTCCACAATCGGCCTCCCTCCACCTCCCTATCACTAGCCTCCCCTTACTGCCCTCCCGCCGATCCAAGCCCCACCAGCCCTTCCCTAGCCGCCAGCCCAACCAAGCCCACCCTAGCCGCCGGCCATGCTAATCCCAAACTCCAAATTCCCAATTCAATTTTCCTCCTAATTTTATCCCCTTATTAATTTGAAAAGTTTCTAATTTGAGTTCAAATTAATTTGAATTTTAAATCTCTTTCCGAATCAAGAGATTTAAGTTAGGAAACCTCCCCCAATTACTCCCCGATCTGAAATTAATTTCAAATTTAATTCTCAATCCCAATTAATGCTTGATCCACATTCGTTGAATGTAGACACTTCCTCCTTCCCTCTCTCTTGGCCTTCCCCCCGCTCTCCCCTATTTTAATTATTTTCTTGTTAAGGAATCCAATTAGGGGAATAATCAACCACCTATTTACCATTCCCTCCATCTTATTTGAATTTCAAATTCAAATCCCTAAATTAAAGCAAACTTGACATTTAATTTCAGATCTCTAATTTTATTTCCCTCTCCTCTTCCACTCAATACCAAAAGCGGAATTCACATGGAGCCCTTTCCCCTAAGCCAAGGATGAAACCCCCTAGCCCATTGATAGTTTTCCCGCAACCCCCCCCCCCCCCCCCCCCCCCCCCCCTCCGTTATCTCGCTTCTTTCATTTGGAGATCGATCTAAACTGTTGAAGGTTTTCTCGAGAGGATTCCCTCTCCTTGACGACAGCAATTGGAGAGAAACTACTGCCAGTTCAGTGGAAAATCCTACGACCATCCCCGGCTTCTACTTCTCCAAAATAACTTTCCATTGATATGTATTGTAAGCGTTTACTTTATTTGGTGGCATCATTTTTATTACTTATATCTTTCTCCCGCTAACTATTCCTTAGAGTGAAGAGTGAGGGAAACTCGAAGGTGAAGTTTTTATTTGTTAGACGAAGGATTTTTGTTATTTGCATATTTAGTTTTACTATCTTTTTGTCACTATTTTGAATTGCCCCATTAATATAAATTGTAACCGCAAGCCAAATCAAATCAATAACTACGAAAACTGAAAATCCATTCCTAGTGAAACATTACTTATAATTGTAGCGCTTAAACAACTTTCTTATGAAATCCCGCAATTCCTGTTCATTGTTTCACATCACATACCTATTAATGGCTTTAAACCTTGCATTCAGGGCCCTCACTCAGATTTCAGTGGACCAACGTCTGGAAGCACTGCGTGTGTAGCTATAATGAGAAATAACCAACTTATTGTTGCTAATGCTGGCGATTCTCGCTGTGTTATTTCTAGGAAGGGTCAGGTGTGTTATTCTAGCAACCTCTAGTATATTTTTTATTCTGTGCTTCATTTTGAGGCCATCTATTATGCATGCCATTCTCTCTCTCTCATTGTTTCATTCATACTGTGTCTAGGCATACAATTTATCAAGGGATCACAAGCCTGAGCTCGAGGTTGAGAGAGAGAGGATTTTAAAAGCAGGAGGGTTTATTCATGCAGGACGAGTAAATGGAAGTTTAAACCTTGCAAGAGCAATTGGTATCTTATGCTTCTAGTGTTACTCTCAATCAGTCTCCATTATTGTTATATCTGATATTCCATTTGATTGTAGTGCAGGTGATATGGAGTTTAAGCAAAACAAGTTTTTACCTCCAGAAAAGCAAATTGTAACGGCCTATCCGGATATAAATGTTGTGAGTATCATTCCCCGTAGTAAATTTTGCATTACATAACCTTTTTTATTTTTATTTTCTTGACATTGAACTTTATTTATTCATAAAATTGTCTTTTGTAAGGTGGAGCTTTGCGATGATGATGAATTTATTGTTTTAGCTTGTGATGGGATCTGGTAAGACTGCTCAAATAATTGAATCCTCTTTAATTTGAGCATACTTTTCAAGTCAATTTTTTGTGGATCCTAGTAGTTTTCCATTGCTCTTCTTAGTTGTTTTAAATTATAGGTGTTACCATACATGAAAAATCTGTTCATGCATGTCATAATTAAGAGATGTCTTTGATCTTTTGTGAAGAATTTATATTAAATTCCATTTAAAAGTGCCATTTAAAACCAAAACTGATACTAATTAAACCTTGCAATTGACACATCGTTAACTATTGCTAGTAATTCTTCTCAAGTCTATTTGAAGGAGTATTGGTAAAACCAAAAGGTATGCTAATTGAATGCGTTCATCACACTTCAACTTATTTTGTTGATTTTATGCAGCTAATTGTGGACAACAAATCATGCTTACAACTCTTATGAATAAAATATTCTCAAACAGTCAAAGAAAATGTGTTTTCTTATTCGCATCAAATTTGTTCTCCCCGGTTTTATTTAACATTGATACATTCTGATATCCAACATAAGCTTATGAATGTTTTTAATACAATTACTTTTATCGAATCGACTAATGACTGATTGATTCAGGTCACCACATACTGGGAAATGATGATTGCATTCATTTTCACATTGGTTCTAAGAGCATGCACTCTTTCTTTTCTAACAGGGACTGCATGACAAGTCAACAACTAGTGGATTTCGTTCAAGAACATATAAACACTGTAAGTATTGATTATTTAAAAGTCACATTGCCACTATTAGTGTGCGTGTGCGTGTCTCTCTCTATCTATATATATCTTGTTTAAAAAATATTAAAGCTAAATAGGCACTTCTATAATAACAAACCGAGGGAGTTTATCTTGGTGGAGTTAGAAATTCAACTACTATAATTAACAGGATATTGTGCTTAGCAAAGTTAAAAACTTAGCTTTGAAAGCAAACAACAACAACAACATCAAGCCTTTGTCTCACTACGTGGGTCTGGCTACATGAATCATTTTTCTTTATTGTGTCATGTTAAAAGTCAAGTTCTCGGTTAAATCTAATCAAGAAAGATCATTTCTAATATTTTATAATCAAGTCTTTTGAGGTCTACCTCTACCTAAGTCAAATCTAATATCTCTACTTTTCTAACCGAGACATCGGAAGGCCACTGTTTTATGTGACCAAACCATCTAAGGCGACTCTCACTAATATTATCTTCCAATGGCGCTACTCCAACCTTTTCACGTATATGCTCATTTTGTATCCTATATCTAAGGGTAAAGCCACTCATCCACCTGAGCATCCTCATCTCTGCAACACTAAACTTAGTATTAGAAGATTATTTAAATCTTAGAAAATACAACTGGTATTATAATTTCAAAAGCTCTCCTAGGAGTATGTTTAATCTGTACTTATAGCATTCTTGTTATCTCCTATTCCTTATTTTGGACACAAGCAAATAAATGGAATTCTAATTGCGTCTATCTTGGAAAATCTAATCAACAAGAAAATATATGAAAAATCAATACTTTCCCAAAATAATACGGTTAAGGCAGATCTCCAGATCGGTGCTTAGGCACTTAGTCTTGGGGTGCATCCTTAGGTCATCTCCAACCGAACGCTAAACGAGTGTATGGAGTCGTTCCGTCGCTTCAAACGAACGCGAAAATTTCCGCCATTTCATTGCAGGTGAACAGTGCGACGCCAATATTGGCGTCGCACTGTTCACTCACGCCATTTTCTGCTCTTAACCGGAAAAACGCGTGAAAGGGAGAGCGATCGTTACCTTCCTAGAAACACCTAAAATGGTGGTTCGATTGGAGCATCACCACGCCATTTTGGAGTTTTGCGTTACTTTGCCGTGAAAAATGAAGTTATCGGTTGGAGATGCCCTTAGCGTAGGCTTTGATACCAACTTGACACCAGAGATCACTTAGGAGCAAAATAAATCTTTGATTACGGAAGAACAAACTGAAAGAAAGGTGGATCTTAGCAAAGTTAGAAACTCCCTTGCAACAATGGACAAAAAATTGATCGTAGCCAAGTTACAAAATTCCACTATGACAAACAACATGAAGATGAGTGTCTTGAATTTCATCATTTCATGACAACACAACAGGAATTTTAATTCATCAAAAGCTCCCTTAGGAATTACAATTAATCTTCACTTATAGCATATTTCATCACCTATTCCTCCCTAATTTTGGACAAAGCAAATAAATGGAGAACTATTACCTCTCACTTAGAAAAGGTAATACAACAATAAATATATAAAAATAAAGAGTTTCCTATAAAAGGTTGATTGTAAATAAGAAAAAGCTTCTTTATGATTAGAGAATGTTATTGATATGTTTCTTTGATATATTTGAACGCTTGCCATGTAGTTACACAATAGAAGGAAGAAGAGTGAACATAGTAAGAGAGAGTGAGAGAGTAAGAATGTGTGCGTGGGGAGAGAGAGAGAGAGAGAGAGAGAGAGAGAGAGAGAGAGAGAGAGAGAGAGAGAGAAGGAGAATCAATTCAATTAATCAATCAAGCCAAAATAACATTTTCCTTTCAATTCTCGCCTAATATAAAAACTGGCATCTTTTCAAAGTGAATTTTCTTGTACTACTCATGATAACTGTGCTTGCAGGAGAGCAGCCTCTCTGCAGTGTGCGAGAAAGTATTCGACCGTTGTTTGGCTCCATCAACTGCTGGAGGAGAAGGCTGCGATAATATGACCATGATCTTGGTTCAGTTTAAGAAGCCCATCCATTCAAATGCCACAAATACCGAGCAATCATCCCAGCCTGCGCGTGAGATTGAGAAAAATTCCAATGTTTGATCTGCCATCATCAAAGCAGAATTGTGCTTCTAAGTTTTTATCATCTTCAGTTAACTGCATGATTTGTATCATATAAACTTTATTTCCATCTTCAAAAGTTTTATTTGACTTGATTTAGAAACAGCTGATGTTTCCATTGAAGAAAGGGACACTTAGGAAATAAATGTACATATGCTTTTATCATGTTTTCATTCATCTCTCATATTTATTTTTGTTGATGTAATTGCGAGGGAATGATGCTTGTTTAGGATCTTTTTGGGATGGTTGCATTGTTTTATAAAATTAGTTATGAAGTTGTTGTAGGAAAAGTAAACTATTTTAGTTATAAAAAGTAGCTTTTCATCTTAGAAATTTTTTGAAATAAAAATCAATAGCCAAATAAAATTATAATTATTTTTTCAAAAGAAAAGCAATTAGAAAGTAGTCTCAGTCAGACTCTTAGGAGAATTAGGCTTTTTTTGTGACGGTTTTATTATTGCTTCTTAAAATAATTTTTTAGTATAAAAATTTTAAATTTTGTACTAAAAGGTTGTCTTAAGAAGCTGTCTCAAACGAAACCTTAATCTTAGGGGTGTCAATTTCGGGTCACAGGTCGGGTTCGGGTTGAACCCGGAAATGACCCGACATTATTCGGGTCAACAAGAACTTGATCAATTTTTAAAACGGGTTGATTTATCGGACTCGAATCTGGCCCGCTTCGGGTTCGGGTCAACCTGACTCGACCCGCGGACACGGTAAGGCCGGGAGCAGCTTCGCTACATTGGCGGGCCTTCAGCGCGGCAGTAGCATCCGGTGGCAGCGAGTCACTCGGTCACGCGGGGGATGCGACGCAATCAAGATTCACACGGCGGGATGTGACGCGAGGCCAGTAGAAATGATGCGAAGCGACAGTGGGCAGCGGTCACGCGAGGGGAGGCAAGTGAGTCAGCGGGGCAGCTTGGTCATGCGGGGGCGGACAAGTGTCAGGCGGTCAACGCAGTGGGGTAGCTCAGTCAACGGGTCAAACATTTTCGGGTTTTTGGTCAACTCGAACCCGACCCGATTTTTAAAACGGGTCGAAAACTCTAACCCGAACCAGACCCGGTTCAGGTTCGCCAACCCGAAATTTTCGTGTCGGATTCGAGTCGGGTTTTCGAGTCTTGTCAAATATTGACACCCCTACTTAATCTATAAGATTTCAAAAAACTTATATTAATATTGATTTTCTTCTTTATTTTTCTCCAAAATGAAATAGAATAAAATAAAGTAGAAGGCTGAAATTATTATTTAACCATGCTACATAAAAGTAATGTTGGAAGTCAATTTATTTAAGGCGGGTAAGAAAATATCCCTTGTCAGACAGAATATATGGCCAGTGTTGTTCAGGCTTTTTTTTTTTTTGGACATTTAGGCCATTTAAGGCAAATTCACACACACAACGCATACAGAAAGACTCGAACCTTGGACCTCTTAGTTGGAAGCCTAAGCTCTCAACCAATAGGCCAAGGAGAGTTGTGTTTCAAGCTTTTTTTTAAGGCTTCCTTTACAGAGAGATTGCTTTACTATTTATGAATGCTATATTAAGGAATACATAATGAAATGGTCATGCAGTGGCAGTTAGATTGTTATTAGGTAAGTAGTGATTTTTTTTTACATTTTTTTATAGGCTATAAATAAATCACTTAGGAAGAGATAAAGCAACATTAAAGTAAAAGTGTGAAACACGTGAATTTTGGCTTATTCCCCTTCTCAATATTATTGCTTGTAGGCATCATATATTATGTATAGCCTTCTATTATATATATTTAAGAGGCATGTCATAAGTTAGTTTATTATTCTTTAAACTTAAAGAGGCATGTCATAAGTTTTTATGGCAAAGCTTCATTTTGGACGGTTTTTTTAAAGCAGTTTTTTAGAATTGTACTAGAAAGCTATTTCAAGAAGCAATAAGAAAGTCGTCCCAAAGAAAGATTAAGGCTTCTTTTGGGATGTTTTTTTACTACTTCTTAAAGTAGTTTTTCAGTAGAAATTTTTTTATTAAAAAAAGCTACTTTAAGAAGCAGTAAAAAAGCTGCCCCTAATGAAACCTAAGTTAGTGGGTGTCTACATAATGCATAGAAAAAAGATATAAAAGAAAAAGTTAGTGGGTTCCTACAAACCCTTATTAAATTTTGTTAAGTGACATGAATTCTTGAGCTCAAAATGAAATATTAATGGTTCGTTGTAAAAACTTATTGTGGCTTATTAACCTCTTCACGAGCATCTGTAAACCCTGACGAGTAATTGCCAATTTGTTAGGTAAAATGATAAAAATTTGGTTCCATATCGCTAAAAGTATAAAGGAACCAATCCAATGGTCCCTATGTAAATATTTTGTGTCCAATCTATTTTTATAGATTTTTTCCCAGCTCTCCGCTCTAGCGAAACCCTAATTCCTTTTGCCGGCGCCCTTCTAACGTCGGGAGAGGTCGTCCTCTCCCCCCTTCGGATGGCCCTCAATCCGAAGGATTTTCCCGCCTTACCTGGCTCATCCACATACCTCGAGCCTTTAGGGCTTTCGCAGTATGCTCTGAAAACGTGCATTAGCTGCCGAGAACTCTCTCCCCGGCCCCCCCCTCACCCCGTCCATCTAACCCAAGCCTCTCTATCACATATATCTGACACGCGGCCGCAGGACTCAAAACTATTCTTTTTGCTGTTGAGTGATTCTGGTCTGACAGGTTCTTCTCTCTGGAACTTTTCGATGGTTGGAGTCTGTGTTCTCATCTCCAAAGACTCACCTCTACCGGATGAAATACCGTTGGATATTGACGGTGAAGACTTAATCCTCAAGGTTCTCTATGACTGGAAACCCACCCCTTGTGAAGGTTGCCGTTCGCTGGTTCACCCCTTCTCAATCCGTCCCAAAAACCCGAACCCCTCTCCACCTGTTTTACCTCCTCCACGCCCTCGTGGTAGAAGCTCCAGCCGTCCACCCCGTCCTAACTCTAGACCTAGCTCCAAACCTCCTTCTCATCCTGCACTTAATGTGCCTCCTCAACCTACAACCCCCCTTCTTATCTCTCCAGTTATTGCTACTCCCTCCGGGGATGCTGCGATTCCAAATCAAAATGGTATCCTGCCCTCTATTGGTGCTTCTACCAATCCCTCTTCCATATCTCTACCCATAGTTAACAACAATTCCCCTAACCTCCTCAAACCCGAAAAATCTATCATCATACCAAACCTGAATTCACCCAATGAAGATGCTTCTTTGGAAGCTTCTTCTTCCACCACACCTCCCTTCATTCCTAACATCCTCATTGGTTCATCCTCTTTGAACCTTTCCACCTCTAATAAATTCAAAGCCCTCCTGGAGGATGACCCTCCCTTGGATGATGACCCTCCCCTGGATGCTGAAACCAATCCCCCTCTCTCTGAAAATCCCATCCAAAATATTCCCTCTCCATCCACCTCCTCCACCAAATCCCCAAACCGTCCTCCTCCTAAAACTAATACCCAATCCTCTCCTCTCTCTAAGCATACTAGAGGGAAATCTACCAAAAAAAGCAAACCTTCAAAATCCAAATCATAATGTCCTTTCCCAATATAGCTTGTTGGAACATAAGGGGGTTTAATAGACCCGACAAAGTTTTGTTGTGCAGAGATTTAGTTCGGGTTCACAACCTGAAATTTTTATGTCTTCTGGAAGCTAAAGTGATTCCTTCCTCTGTTGATGATGACTGGTTTATTAGATCTCATATGGTTTTTGAGAATGAATCTCATTGTCATAATTTTGGCTGTTCTTCCTTAGGGAGGATTTGGATTAAATGGGACCCTTCTTTTGTCTCATTTTCTCCTACTTTCCTCTCTTCTCAACTCATTCATGGTGTTATCTCCATGGGAACCCTACCTCCTTTTCAGATTTCTGTCATTTATGCAGCAAATAATGTAGATGAAAGGGCCTCTCTTTGGAATAAGATCAGGGAATTGATTCCTTCTTCCCCTCTTCCTTGGCTGGTTATAGGAGATCTAAACTGTTACAGATTTCATAATGAAAAGGCTGGTGGTAATCCAGTACCTACTAGCAAACTTCAAGAGCTTAATGGGACTATTTTTGACTGTGGTCTGCATGACCTGGCTTCCGTTGGGTTGTTTTTCACTTGGCATAACCAAAGGGTTGATGAGCCTATTCACATCAAGTTAGACAGGGTGATGGTCAACTCTTGTTTTCTGGATCATTTTCCTTTGGCCCATTATAAGGTTGCTTCTCCGAATGGATCTGACCACTCGCCTCTTATTACCTCCATTGCTTCTAACAATCGGTTGCCCAATCAGTTTTTATTTAAGAATTACTGGACTTTCATGGATGGTTTTTGGGAAGATGTCCTTACAGCTTTTTCTCAACCTTCAAATAAGGAGCCTATATGTCATCTTCACCATTGCCTCCAAAATCTCAAAGGTGCTTTAAAGAAATGGGTTTGGGCTTCCTCCAACCATTTATCTAATCAAATTTTGGAGCTCAAGAATCAACAGCTTATTTGTTTAGAGAAAATTCAATTGATGCCTTTGGACCCATCTTTGAATTCTTCTTTAAAAATCATTAACAGCAACCTTGCTAACCTTCAAGCCTCTTGGGCTTCATGGGTTTCCCAACGTGCTAAAGCTAACTGGCTTTCTCAAGATGTTGATGACTTAGGCTTCTTATATGCCAAGATTCGTGCAAGGAGGAACCACAATAATATATTTGAAATCACTGATGATCAGGGGATTCATGCTACCCCTAAGGATATTGCTTCTGCATTCATTCGACACTTTAAAAACCTCTTCAACTCTCCAAACCAATTAATGCTGAGAACTTCTCTATTAATCCTGGTATTTGCATCCCTCAACACATGATGGATCTTCTGATTTCTCCTTTTACTTATGATGAGATTAAGCTGGTGGTTTTTAGTGGGTGTGACTCTTCTGCTTCGGGGCCTGACGGATTCACCTTTGCCTTTTTTAAGAGAACTTGACATATTTCTGGACCTGTCATTTGTAATGCTGTCATGGAATTCTTTAATTCCGGTTACTTACCTAGGAGTGTCAAAGCCACGGCTTTGGCTCTTATTCCTAAAGGAGCCCATGTTTCCTCTATTTCTGACTTCCGCCCCATTTCATTATGCAATGTGTTGTACAAAATCATGGCTAAGCTGGTGGCTAACAGGCTAAAGGTTGCTTTACCTACTATCATTCATGAAA